TCTGGGTGAATTATACCCTATAAATACAGTATGTGACACTTTTAATGCCATTAAAAGGTGTTCAAGTTCCTGTGAGGACCTGTGCAGCCGCCTTTAAGCTTCTCACCTGACTTTGAAAATATAATTGGCTGAATCGTAGAAAAGCTGAATTAAGATCGTGTGTAGGGCCGAATCGAGATTGTGATCTTTTTTCGATTAATCGTGCAGCCCTACCGTGGTGTTCAGCACTTGTCATCTTTCCAGTATATGCTGTGTAGTGTGTATAGCGCCTTTATGCAGCACGTTGGCAATTCCTGCAAAACTGAAAGTAAAAGTATAATACGTAAGCATTTATAGGCTATTTAAAAGCAGAAAAAAAGAGAAAAAGAGGAAACCCCCACCCCCACCATGATACCAGTGTTGCCACATGTCGATTAACCGGTGGGAAAATTTCCTCATTGTAACAACCATAATTCTCGCACCTATAGCGAATAATCACATGTTCAAATCCTCTAAATTAGATCAAGGTTTTATGTTACGGAAGGCCAAAGGTCTGAGATCTATTGAGGATCTGTACATAGACAGAAAATTTGCATCTTTTAGCCAGTTGCAATCAGCATTTAATTCTTCGGTTCTTGCAAATGAGACATTGGGCTCTATTTTGACGGTCCATGCGCAGAGCGCAAAACGCAGGGCGCAAACGCTTTCAGGGCATGTCAGGATGCGTTTTTGTTAATTTAAGGACGAGAAATCTGCCTTGCACCGCGGCGCATGATCTAAAAGGGTTGAGTTTATTTTCTTAATGAGTTATAGGTGTGTTTTGAGAATAAACCAATCAGAGTCTCATCTTCCATTCCCTTTAAGAGTCAGCTGCATCGCGCTAAGAGCGCATTCGCTATTTACAGGACGCAAAGTAAGTCTAAGTGGAAAAAACTGAGCATTTCACAAGCAAACACTTAACAGTTTTTTAACAGAAAACTGTTAAACAGAGCATCTACTGCGTGAGAATGAGAGATAATAGAACCACTTTCACATTCGCTCATGGATAGGGAAACCTTTACGCACAGACATCAACTAGTCTATAAATAAATACTTTTGTTTGTTAAGCGCAAATATTCGTTTCAAAACTATTTCTAAATTCAGTTCTAATTTCCAGCAAACGAATAAATGAATAATAATAACAAAATGTGCTCAAAAACCTGAGTTATATCCTAAAACACATGCTGTGCCCCATATGGTCTAAAACCTGACAGGTGGGCAAATCTAAGCTTGTTTTTAATAAAACAAATATAAATATGGATATAATAAAATAATACTGCTAATAATAATAACATTATACAAAAGCAAATTATTATGAATGAACTGAAAAAGCCTCCAGAGATGAAGAAGACAAAAGCAGTGATTTTTCCTATTTATGTGGGCTAGAAAATAATATGTTTTGTAATATTTTAATCCTTTATATTTATATTCTATATCTATTCTTATTATATCCTATATATATATATATATATATATATATATATATATATATATATATATATATATATATATATATATATATATATATATATATATATATATATATATATATATATATATATATATATATATATATAAAATAAAAAAAAAAAAAAAATTTTTTTTTTTTTTTTTTTTTTATTTATATTTTTTTTTTATTTATATATATATATATATATATATATATATATATATATATATATATATATATATATATATATATATATATATATATATATATATATATATATATAT